GTGACCTGTGGAAAATGTGGGCCCAGGCACTGTGGGTGCTTGGGCCAGACCTCTGCAGGTGGCTGAGGACACAGAGTCTCCATAAGGGACTCTTCACGGACACAGTTCTTCTGAGCTGCCCTAACAATTATCTAGCATTTTTTTTTTAAATAAATCTTGAAAATCAGAGTAGTGAATAAAATACTTATTCTGGGATTTCAAGCCATCCGGTTTTTATGTAGGTATAAACATGAATGAAAATACCTTCCACAGGGATTCTGCAGTGAGCCAACAAAGGTTGTAGATAAAATCTGAACGTCATAGATCATCGAGACGTTCATCCTCTGACTCCAGCAGAACTGCGCCGAGGGCCATAGATTGTAGAAACTCTGCTGTTTTTGTTTAGCTCTTAATTCAGAAGGACCAAAGCTTCTCCCTGCGTAGTCGTCCCACAAATAAGGTTTAAAATAATAAGAACCATGAGTATCTTTACTTTGATCATTTCTCTAAAAGCAGAGACCCATCTCACTGAAAAAGTTCCTCGTCAGTGCCATGTGAATAACAGCATCTAGTATCTTTGTACTGTTTTCATCACCCATTCTGAAAATATTGAAATGGCTTTTGCTTAAAAATGAGATGGAATCTGTTTATAATAAGCCTTTTATATTTGGAGTTTCCAAATGCTTGCCTATAAGCAATCTCAAAATCGGGCATGTTTGTTCTTTATCATCCATGGGGATTCCATCACACGGAGAGCTCTTCTGTTGAGGAGATGAGGGGGGTTGAGGGCGATGACGCTGTGGTCCTGGTGGGGGGGCGGTCCTCACCTGCACCTCCCTGTGCACAGGCCCTTTAACCCCCAGCTACATCCATCAATTGTGATGTGACAGTGACAGAATATTCCCAAGATTTTGAATGATTGTTGGGGTGTGTGACATCTGTCCCTGGCAATGAAATGTCCCTGGCAGGGAAATATGCTTTCCCCCTGCTGCAAGTTTCCCAACTCAGAAACCCCCGGATAACATTTTATTGACTTTTCTCTAGTTTAAAGAGGGAAAACAGTGCTGTTAGGGGCCCTAAACAATATCCCCTAATAGTTAAGTTCCATAATATGTTCAAATGATCTGGGGAGATTGTAATGAAAAAAATTTTTTTAGCTTTCTAAATCAGAGGCAAGCCTTTGAAAACCTTACTTCTTAATAGAAAATAGATTACATACATGAGGAATAGTTTTATACATGTTTTTCAGTTCCCTGCAAGAGAACTAGATTGCTTTCTACTTTTTTCTGTGGCCTATAAGGGAAAAGTTTAGAAAACTCTTTATGTAAATTTTATTAAGCATATAATTTCAGGATTTTTCAATTCACCAGTCTCTCTGACATAAAATAATCTTAGAAAAATTAGGGATAATATTTATGCAGAAAATCTTAATTCTCATTTTACCAGGGAACGCAAGACATCTTGGAAGCATCATTTTATAAATATGTCTCGGACAAATCCGGGACTGCTGACAAATATAAATGGATACTTTGCCAATATTCAAACACATTATAGCAGTATACATAAACTTAGAAGAAGATGACACACTCACTTGGGCCGCCATCCCCCTTCTTCCATACTCCATCAGAGAGATGCCTCAAAAGCAAAATGGAAATTGATGGATCTGGGAAAGCCCACATAAAACTGAGCAATTCCTGGAGACAGAAGATGGGTGGGTGTAAAGGAGGAAGTATTGGCAAACCAGAGGGAAGCGCACTGTGTACCGTGCAGGATGAGGCATCTTAGTTATGCTCTTCTCCCCCAGAATTTTCCCAGACCTATTGTTGCCTTCCGTCCGGCCACTGTGGGGCATAGGATTGGAGCGCCCGCGCAGCTGTTCAGTGCTGCAGGTCACATCAGTGCCAAGGGAGGGGCTATCCAGGAGGCAGGCACAATTGCCAGCCCTTGAACATTCACTTCGCAACCCCCCACCCCGGCCCCCTCCACAGTGAGGCCCAGGCATCGCAGCGCAGGAGGCAACGCTCAGAGCCGTGTCAAGCCCGAAGCACAGGGCGGTTCTCTGAGAGACAAGAATTGGGAGTGGGGGGTACTCCATCCAGAACAGGATTGACAGGGAAGAACACGCCAGCACGGAAGGAACTCAAGCACTATTAAAAAAGATCACAAACTCAACAACCAGGTGAAGCAGAATGAACAAAAGAGAAAAATACAGAACTTTTTTTTTTAAAGGCACGTCTGGGGCCCTTGGATGGCTCATTCGGTTACGCGTCTTAATCTTGGTTTCGGCTCAGGTCATGATCTCATGGTCATGAGATGGAGCCCCTGTCCGCTCCGCGAGGGGTATGAAGCCTGCTTGAGATTCACGCTCTCCTCTCCCTCTGCCGCTCTCAGCCCCGGCTCACACATGCGTGCTCTCTCTCTCTCAAAAAAATATAAATAAATAAAAAGGCTTTAAGTATAAGATATAAGAAAGCACCAAAGTTATTGGTAATGTTCTATATTTCTTAACCTAGGAGGTAAGCACAAGTGAATTTATTTTTTTCTCTTAATTTTATACATGTGTTATAAATATTTAATATGTAGCTAATTTTTAATTATTTATTTCTAAAAACAAAGGAAAATCAGGTAGCTTTATGGAAGCTACCAACATGAAAAGAATTTGTGACCTTGGAGAAAAAAATTAATCTACAAAAATGTTCCTCAAACTTCACTGTTACACTGATCCCTTTTAAAGAGAAGAAAATTGTCATTAACCCTAACCCCTCCACCCCCACAAAAAACCCTCTGACTCTGAGGACTGTGTTCTTGGACCCCATGAACAAGTTTGAGAAACACTGAATTAATTAGTTCGTCTTAATTTTTAAAGCATATGTCAATTTTAAATTGCCACGGCATAAATTTTTGACAGCAAAGAGAGATCTCATCTTTATAACTGGTTAACAAATATGTTGAGAGTATCATCAAAGTATAAATCTGAAATTTAAAATTTTTCATGCAACTTTTCCACTCCCAAGAAAACATCCACAGAGCCCAGGGTACACAGACCCTAGTTTGAGAAATACCAAGAATTCTGGAAGAGTTGCAGTTACAAGACCAAGTTCCAACATGCCTTTTCAAGGAGAAAAAGTAATGGTCAATAAACCTGATAACTTAAGATGAAATAATATATTTGTATGTATGCACAGAGGCGTATTTATGTATACCACTTACTGTTTGCTAAGGTGATACTATAGAGTCAACTAAACCACACATCCAGATAAACCAAAGTCATACAATAGGAGTCAGCTAGAACTGTTTAAAAATAAAAACGGGGGCGCCTGGGTGGCTCAGTCGGTTAAACGGTTGCCTTCGGCTCAGGTCATGATCCCAGGGTCCTGGGATCCAGCCCTGCGTCGGGCTCCCTGCTCAGCGGGAGGCCTGCTTCTCCCTCTCCCTTTGGGCCTCCCCCCTGCTTGTGCTCTCCTGCTCTCTCTCTCTGTCAAATAAATAAATAAAATCTTTTAAAAAAATAAATAAAATAAAAACAAAGTAATAGGCATAAGACATTAATAAGCGTGATGTTAATGAAAAATGGAAATAGTGGGGTATTACAAGGCATCGATAAATATTTGTTGAATCTGATTGGGTGGTTCAGGTCCAAACTGTACGGTTACTAAGTGTTTCACATCCTCCTTTCTGATCACCCCACTTTCAGTAGAATTTCACTTCAGTGAGTCTTTGAAAGATCCTCACATAGGCCCAGGATGGCCAACACTGGCTCTCTTTTCCCACCCACCAATGGAACCACTGAGAACCCTACCCAGGTTGGCACCATAGCCCATTCACCTTCCCCAGTGCCTCTGTGACTTGCTATTGTTTCCTTTTCCTTCACAAGTCTGCACCCAAGACTGTAGAGACCCCTCATTTCTGTCCCAGACGGGCTTCTCCCAACAGTTTGCCCCGTAAGACAATGTTAGGCATGATGCCCTCTCAACTTTGCTGATCCTTCTCACGCTGTCTTTGTGCAGGTTGCTCAGCAGACATTCTGATGCTGTCTTTAGATGGAGGGCTTTTGATCCCTGCTGTACTCGGTGCACATAAGCTGTTCTTCCTCACACTTGGCATTGTCGAGCATCTCCAGTGTCAAGCCTGGGGAAGGCCACGGTTGTTTGATGAGTTCTCAAGAGTTCCAGGTTATGCTTTACACCTCTCCACACTCTTTACCTAGCCTGCTTAGAAGAATGCCTGTCACTTAAAAGTCATCCCCTTAATGATTGCAAAAGCACTTAGCAGTGAAAATGCTTATGTCACATAATGCAGCTGGACTTTTTAGCTAAATTCGATTTAATGTTAAGTCAAGGGGAAACTCAAGATGATCATCTCTTCTTTCCTTCACTACTTTCCTCTCCCCTCAAAATCAAAGCACCTCAGCCTGTTTTGTTGGAGATTTTAGGGAACATTTTTACATGGGTAAGAGCATGGGTTTCAAAATTAGATAGCTCTGGGTTCAATTCCAGCACTTGGTAGCTGTATGAACTTGTGCAGGTTGAATAACCTTGCAAAGCTTTGCACAGTGGCAGTATCGTAGCCAATGAGGTTTATCCGAGGCGCGATTATTGCTAATCGAATAACCTTGCAAAGCCTTGGGTTTCTAGGCTATAATAGGGATAATCACAGTCCCTGCCTCATGTGAATATTGCCGTAAGTAAGTGAGAAAATGCATCTATGTGCTTTGGCAGGCTTGGTGTCTGTTTCATAACAATAGGAAAGGCAGGAGAGCCATCACCACTGTGGCAACGTTGTAGGCACGTCTCATCTGTCAACTTATTCAAGTCATCTGAAGGACCCACGCTGTAGGTTTACTGTAGCAGTAGTTTACAGGTTGAGGGAACAGCAGAGAGGTTAAGCCACTGGCTCATGGTCACACAGCTAGTAAATGCCCTTAATAAACATGAATGACTTTTAAATGTTCGATTTAATGGTGTAGCTCTTCATTTCTGGCATCGGTCTGTACTAACTCACTGCTCCTTTTTTCCTTGCAGGTGACTATCCAGCACCCAGAGCTGTCCTCACAGGCCATGACCATGAAGTTGTCTGTGTTTCTGTCTGTGCAGAACTTGGACTTGTTATCAGTGGTGCTAAAGGTCAGAAGGCATTTCCTTCATTTTAGGTCTTAAAAACCTGTACTCTTTTCTCAAGTTAACCATGATTTATGATTTATTTCCTTTAGGAGCCTCTCTACAGACAATGGAATCCCTGGGTTCTTTGCAACTGTTTTGTTTTATTATTAATATTTACTAGTACTAATATGGAATATACATAAAATGTTATGTAGTATTTTGTGGTCACCAGCATTCTAGCCGGAACACTGGTAAATTAAACTGCAGCACATCCCTAGGATGCAGCCATTAAAAATAACATATAAAAGTTGGGGGAGGTATCCGTGAAGCAGTGGGAGTCTTGGGGGCGTCAGGTTGCTTCTCAGACATAGCCTTGGACCCACCTCCCTCCAGAGCCCCTTCCTTCATAAGGCCCGGGGCTGTGTAGAGGTTGGTGGGAAAGGAAACATGATCACTTGTTGAGGGTTTGACTTTTTGTGGATGAAGTGTTGTTTCAGAAAAAGTCAGGAAACTTGGATTCTAATTCCGGATCAGAAGCCCAATTCTCCGTGGTGAGGCTCTGGGGCAAGAAGGAGCCTGATGCCGAGGAGAAACTGCAAGAATACCAGAGGGGCTGAGTAGATACTGTGGCGCAGACTTAGGGAGCAAGAGGGCTGACAGGCGGGAGGGCCGGGGGCATAGGGGTTTGCCCTGTGTATTTTGTTCGAAGCATAGTGGGAACCCACTGAAGTTTTTTTAAGCAAAGTGATGCGATGATCAGATTTGGTTTTCAGGAGCTTATCCTGGCTGCTTTATGGAGAACGGATATAATGTCTGAAGGTTAGGGACTATGTTTTTTCACTTTCGTATCTAAGAGTAAAATGACTCTGTGGACACATAGGATATTTTCAATAAATGTCTTTTTACTTAAAAAAAAAAAGAGCAACAATATGTGTAATATTATTCTGTTCTGTAAAGTGAAAAGGAAAAGAAAACAAAGACACATAGTAGGTATAGGAAAAAAACGGTATTTTCTAAAGGCGATGGGTGATATTAGAGGTGATTGCTATTTTCTTTTTCTCCCGAATTTTCTGTATTTTCTATCACTTTAGTAATCAGGAAAAAATTTAGGTGTAGCCTTATAATGCCACTTGTTTTGTAAACTACGTATCTACTGGAGTCAATTGGAAAATAGAAATGTAATTAATTAACTGTCTTTGTGAGGTTGTTTTGTTGGGGGGTGGGTAATACAAAACTATATGAACCAGTTATTTCTATCAACTTGCCTAGTAAAATTTTTATCTTATCAACCCAATTTCTACGGGGGAGGGGCAGAAATCAGAGCAAAGTAAGTCACTCCCCAGCTTACTTTTTTATACTCTTGCCTCATTGTTCATATTTACAGATGAAACATCTTTCTGTAGTATGAATTACTTAATTAAGTATCTTAATTTTGCCTTTTACATTTCATAGTAATGTATTTATGTGGTATAATGTTAAAGTTTTGATGATACTCAAGAAAATTAGCAGTTGCTTTGATAATTCTCCTAAACTTTTGAGAAACACAAACTAAAAAAGAAAACTTCCAAAAACACAAACTTTAAAAAAGAAAACTTCGAGACATACAATCTTCTCTTGTCACGTTATCTATGAAGTGTATCTTTTTTTATGAATAATATCTCGTGAGGGAAAAGACCAAGTATTTCCCTAGATAAAAAGTTGGGAAGTTCTGTGTGTGTTAACAGCTCCCTGTATTTGATCTGTGTGGTTTTTTTTTTTTTTCATATATATATTTTTTTATTTAAAGTCAATTAGCCAACATATAGTACATCATTAGTTTCAGATGCAGTATTCAATGATTCATCAGTTGCGTATATGATCTGTTTAAATATACCATCAGTGCTTGGCTCCTGCCAGGCTTACCTCTTTTTTTTTCTGCCTTCTTGCAACAAATCAGAGTGTATATACCCAGGTAGGGTTTGTAGGTTAGTGAGAGCTCATATGTGACTTGTCACGAATGACTCTGGCCATGGATTTCCTCCTCCTGCAGAGGGCCCTTGCCTTGTCCACACCATCACTGGAGATTTGCTGCGAGCCCTTGAAGGACCAGAAAACTGCTTGTTCCCACGCTTGATTTCCGTCTCTAGTGAAGGCCACTGTATCATATACTATGAACGAGGGCGATTCAGCAATTTCAGCATTAACGGGAAACTTTTGGCTCAGATGGAGATCAACGATTCAACCAGGGTAAATCTGCATGTTTAGTGCTAAACAGGGACTGAAGCCACGAGATTGATCAACTATTTTACATTAAGCAATTCATGATAGAATTTCTGGTATCTGGATAAATAAATGTGTGCTGGTTTGTTTTTTAAGAGATTATTTATTTATTTGAGAGAGAGAGCATAAACAGGGTGGTAGGGCAGAAGGAGAGGGAGAAGCAGACTCCCCGCTGAATAGGGCAGGACTTGATAGGAGGGGGGGAGGAGGGGGGGCGCCCTGAAATCACTATCTGAGCCGAAGGCAGAAGCTTAACCAACTGAGCCACCCAGGCACCCCAAATGTGTGCTGGTTTTAAAAGCATGTAAATGCATGTAGATGGATGCTTTGAACAAACCCACAATTCATTTAATCCCAAGTAGTTAACTCAGTGAATTAGATTTTAGAGATGACAGCTTTTGTTTGATTAGAGGTCAGACCCCTGAGGAGATTTTTGTTTGGCTCCTTTATAAACTGTGCTGCACCCCCTGACATTATAAGTGAGTTTATTGTCAAAGAATCTTACCTTTAGAGCCCCAGACCAAAATTACGTGTACCAGATTGCCCTTCACTCATAAATGAATTGTAATTGTTGGTTTATCATTATTAAAAGTTGTTTTAAAATATGCTTCCGCCATTTGTTCTGAAAGTCTTGACATTGTTAATATTCAGGACTTAACAAAACATCATGTTCCTTAATTCTCAAGTTCTTCCTGAATTAGATTGATAATATTCCCTTTGGGACTTCTGTTATTTTGTAACCTTATTGGTTTTAATAAGACCCTTTGTTTATGTAAGAACTCTGATGAATTCCACATTGGAAATGCTGGGGACTGGACGTCAGGCAACTTGGACCAATGGCTAAAAGTAGATAATAATTACGAGGGAACTGTGTGGAGTGCTTTTCAGTAAATGAGCATTGACCAGATGGGAAAAGCTGAGACAAATTGTTGTTTTTCTGCCTTTTCCGAAGGCCATTCTCCTGAGTAGCGATGGCCAGAACCTGGTGACCGGAGGGGACAATGGTGTGGTGGAGGTCTGGCAGGCCTGTGACTTCAAGCAGCTGTACATTTACCCCGGATGTGATGCTGGCATCAGAGCAATGGACTTGTCCCATGACCAGAGGTGAGCCCCGTCGGGGGGAAACGTAAGCATGTGAGGGCTGTCACTGAAAGTTCTTTACATTCTACCACGGGTGAAATGTGCTGTGAATAAGATTCCAGCGCCCAGATGGAAGAAAGAGTAGCACAGAAAAGGGTAAATAGAGGAGGGGAGTAAGTGCACTAAGAAAGGAGTCTGGGAAGAAGAAAACAGAGGAAGAGAGTAAGAGGGGGTGGGGGGCGGAAAAAAGAAAGGAAGAAATGGGTCTGAGGAAGAACAGGCACATCCAGACACTGCTCAAAACAGAATTATTCCCACCAACGTCTCTGTTCTAAGACCCTCACCTCGTCTCAGACCGGACCCCCTGGCTTCCATTCTGAGAAGGGATCCATGTTTCTCAGCGCAGGTGTGTTTCAGCTTGAGACATACCTGTAGCTAGCAATTTCCAGCAGAGCTGGCCTCTGCTTGAAAAGATGCAAAACACTCACCTGTTACTGAAACAATCCCCACCTCCCACTTCCTTATTCACATATTCCTCATTTATGTTATTTTGTTATATTTTATATATTTCCCTGAAACACTACAATCTTTTATTTTTTGAAAGAATTGACAGTTAATTAATTAATATGATTTTCCATTGTTCCTTGATTGGCAAGAGGATTTTACTATTTCCTAAAACTCACCTTGGGGTTTACTGTAAAGTGAAAAGGATACTTGGAATATGAAGTCTAAAATTTCTAGATTTAAAAAATTTTAAACTCTATAATCTTAATGTGGTATGTAATTTCTTCTTTTTGCTGTATATTCAACAGAAATAAGAAAAGCTTATTAACCAACTTTTTTCAACTATATGTATATTCTTTATAAAGATATGGGTTTCAAAATATTATAATAGTAAGGCTATATCACAAACTTAACAAAGCATCTTCACAATCTAGTAAGATGCTACTGAAGTCATCAAGAAAAGCAACAGAATTTAATTTAGTTTGGGGAAGGGATATATTTGATCTGCAGCCCAGCCTGTCTTTAAAGAAAACTTTTAAGAAGCGGTATTCCAAAATACTGTAGTCCATATTCATGAGTAAATGGGAACGCTTTATTGTGTAATTATGTGTATATACATGAGGGTTTCTAAAGTATTTGAAATAAAGTATTTGAAATTGTGTTTTTAAGTAGTTTAAATGGTCTCCCTGACATTCTTACTCACACATGTATTCATGCTTCGAACCTTTGCCCCCATCATAGATTAAGCACTACTAAGTCCTAAGATTACTGACCCCCTAGGAGCTCAAATAATCATAATAATTGTATGTGAGGGAAGCAGGGACAGCATGGCAGGAGAAGGAAGTGATTGACTTTTCTGGAGGGGTGAGGAGGGCAAGAGAGGCTCTATTCAGTAGGCATCAGGAGGGACGGTAGATGGGGAGCGTCTGCAGTCACAGTCGTGTCAGGAGTCTCCAAAGAGGAGTGAAGAAAGACGTTGATCAAGTTTCTATTTCTATTTGAATCGCAGCCCTGATTTCAATTATTTTTGTGTCTTATAATGTCCCTGATACGTTGGAGCAGTGGCATGCACACATTGAGGATGCCCCTACTCGAAGAGTATTTATCAGATGAGCTGTCTGATCCCAAGCTAAACAACCCTTGGTCTGGCAGTCCGGGTCTGAGCAGGATTGATTCCAGTTCTCCCAGGAGAACCAGGAATAAAACCTGTGTCGATGACCACAAAACCAAGACCCTGGGGAGCTCAGAGATCGTGATACCGTCTAGTAGAAAGTAGCAACCACATCAATGATTTTGCATCACTCTTAACTGCCGTCTCTGCTTTTCCAGGACGCTGATCACTGGCATGGCTTCCGGTAGCATTGTAGCTTTTAATATAGATTTTAATCGGTGGCATTATGAGCATCAGAACAGATACTGAAGACAAATGAAGAACCAAAAGCCAAGTCAGAGCTGAGAGCACAAGTGCTGCATGGAAAGGCAATATCTCTGGTGGAAAAAACTCGTCTACATCGACCTCCGTTTGTACATTCCATCACACCCAGCAATAGCTGTACATTGTAGTCAGCAGCCATTTTACTTTGTGTGTTTTTTCACGACTGAACACCAGCTGCTACCAAGCAAGCTTATATCATGTAAATTATATGAATTAGGAGATGTTTTGGTAATTATTTCATATATTGTTGTTTATTGAGAAAAGGTAGTAGGACGCGTCACAAGAGACTTTTGACAATTCTGAGGAACCTTGTGTCCAGTTGTTACAAAGTTTAAGCTTTGAACCTAACCTGCATCCCATTTCCAGCCTCTTTTCAAGCTGAGAAAAAAAAAAAAAAAACACGTTTGATACTTTGTACATCAGATGCATCTTATTTAAAGGGATACTTTTGTAAAAGTAAAACCTTGTATAAAGAACAAAACGTTTCTTAATTTTATTGTGGAGTTACAACTTGCATGTTCTTTAATCCTGATGTCTTGATGGAACAGGTGCATTCACACTATGAACCAGAAAGATCTGTCCAAGGACACAGCTTGTATGAAAGGGTTGAATTTGGGCTCAATCAGTAATTTTTGACATTTTCACCAAAATATGGTTTGCACTTTTTAATCTAAATTCATCCCTTCTCAGTGAAATTTGCTCATAAAGCATTTGGATACTAAGCCATTATTTGCCATTTTTGCTACTTGATACAAAGAAAATTCAGCCTTACCCTTCATAATTTGAAGACACAGCAGAAAGGGGGCTTAGGGATGAGGTCTTGGTTTTTATTGTATAAATAGGAGTCACGATCGTTAGTTCCATGGTAATGACTTCCCAGCTCCTGGGCATCTCTTCCAGAGTCATCCTGCTGGTTTAGTGTGTGTACATTAGGGGAGGAGAATCTGATGCTAACTATTTTTGGTTTTGTTCCTTGGGTTTTTTCTTTTCCTCTTTGGTTCTCGAATAGCTTAGTTTCTTTAATAACGAGTCAGACTTTATTATAACAATAACTGAGGCTATTCTTTTAGGTTCTTGTGCAGTTCTGACCTAAAGCCACATTCTTAGCCTAAGGCACTTCATCTTTTATGATATAAAATGATGGGTATCAAATGATTTTCCATACCTTGTACTGATCAAGTTATACACCCAGGGGTATATACACTTTATCCATGTTTCTTCTTTGTATATTTGGTGGCTGTATTGTCATAGATGTACATATTGTGTCGGTAGGGCTATGAGGCATGTTCCAGGAATGTAATTTTCTCAGAATTTATACTCACTTGCAGTCATTTATTTAAAAAGATACAACAAGATAATGGGTTCTTTGTATTGGCACTTTGCACCAGAAACATATCATTATTTATTGATGTGATTACTTATTTGTCATCCACCTTGTATTAGTAAGTTTTAGCACTGAATTCCTTCTTCATTGTTGTTTGTATTTATGATATTCTGAAATTCTGGGGGATCAGCGTAATGATTAAGTTATTCATCACCAGGCTGTAAGCAATATCTTGAGTTTGTAGCTTAGAAGTGGGAGGATACCGAACATCTGGAAGACAAGTTCATTTCATCTTGAGATCATGGTGAAATATTTTGGATATATAAATTCCTTAAGCTATTGTAACCATGTTTTATTGCAAAGATGTAAAATATGCCAGATGTGTGTGAGTTGGAAATCAAAAAAAGAAAAATAAAATATGCAAAGAATTCACTGATTGTTTCACATTTCATTGGACACTTCACTGACATGCATTCATTATGCTGTCATACAAGTTTAAGAAATCAACATCACCTCATATAAAGGCCTACAGCATCTCAAAACATGAAATAGAGTCCTAATGAGGTTCCGTAATTTGCTGAAACACGGGCTTCTCTGCTTGACCATCTGGCAGGGATTTGGGGCAACAGTGACCAGAGGGAAACAGCCCTGGGGTTTCTTCCACATAATCCACTTTCTGGATTATTTTTATTTTATTTAAAAGGAACTAAATGCCGGTGATGGTGAAGAGTACAATTGCTCATTACATTAATATTATCAAATAACGCTGTTCTTATTGGAACCATGCTTTCTAGAATTTGTCCTGGACCAGGCATGACACAAGCAGGGCCTGAGCAACCGGCAGGAGCCGCTGCCAGCAGGGC